TGACTATGGTTACACCTGCACAGGGCAGGTGTACAAAAAAACTGAAATTCTATTTAAAAATCTGAATAAAAACAGCTTAAGAGCTGAACTCTCCCCTCCGTGATTACATTTGCAAGAAGATATTTGTGCACACAGATGCTGGTTTGTGACAATGCATGTAATTACAGAATTGCTTGGTTTGGCATGAAACCAGAAAAGCTTGAAAACAAGCACTGCATTGCGAGATAGGGCAAATAAGGGAAATTGGCTTTGCTGAGGTGTTGTGTAGAAAAAAAAAAAACGAAGAATGCTTTATAAATGTACATCATATACTAATGCTAACTTTCTTCAAATGGTCAAACTGTATACTGTTCAAACCAGTGAATTCCAACAGTGGTAAAAGGCAAAGTGTGCCGATGTGATAAATCTTGCAGAAGAGGGTTAAGACAGACAGAAATGAAAATGTTACGCCTGGTGCAGAAATGGCAACTCTGCCACAGGTCACTTTGATAGCCCATATGTACATGACAAAGCATGTGACTCTAGGCAGGAAGTCGATGATTGTGATCATTAGCTCTCAGGTTCTGGGAAGCTGTGGCTAAAACTCATATCCTGTGAGTTTCCGTTTCCCATTTTAAAGCCCAAATCAAGTTAAGAGGGTGCAGAGTGTCGCCAACAAATAAAGACAGGAGAGAAACAGGTGAAGTACAGGTGAAGTACACCGTAGTGGATATCATTGGAATCAACATGAATGATACGATGAATAAATATCACACTGGGTACTTATAACATTGCAACCTGGGCCACATTTCATGGATCTGCTAAGCAGAGAATTCTGCGGCTACGGCTGGAAAAACACACACACAATTTGTAGCTGCTAGCTAGCCGCTACTGCCATATCCTATAGACTAGTGTAATTGCTAGGCATAGCCAGTGACTTGGACACTGCATAATTGAACCCTTTTATCTTGCTCTTTGTGACACTGCATAATTGTATACCAACTGCTTGACTATCAACTGTGATGACAGGTGGGGAGGACGGGGAATTTTTTTCAGGTACGCAGGGGTTCTGCTGCTGGAGCTCCTCCGTCCCATTCATCTCTCTCCTTTTCGATTTGGCTGATGAACAGGAAAGTCATGAAAATTCCAAGAATCTGTGACAATAAAAGAGGAAAGAGCTGGTCACATTGAAGCTTCACACTTGCATTGAAGGTGAAACGTCCATGTTGGAGGGAAAAGGTTACCACTTCTCAAACATTATAGCGAAAAAGAACATTGCACATTGCGGATTCCATGCATCTTTGACAGTTTGTGGTTTTTCTGGCAACGGAATATGCATCATGGCAAATCAGAACTGTTTGTGAAAATTATAAACATTGCTGACGTCAAGCAAACTTGCCAAACCTGTGTTTTGCTTTGCAAAGCACGTATTCATTCTGTTAGCTTCATTAACCAATCATACCCAAAGCCTTCTAATGTTTTTCCAGATGAGCTCTCAAAAGCAAACTGTTGAATTTAACGCCACATAGCATTATACAGTTTTTGACACACTATTGGTGTCTTTTCTCCGACTTCTGCAAACTGCTTAGTCTGATGTCCTCTAGTTGTCATGGAAACGTTCATGTATTGAATGTTTGAACTTTTCGGATTGAGGAATACATGAACTGGTTGTTCTCGTACATCTCTGAAAGGGGGCCATTATTTTCACAAAATAGTTGTTGATAGAAAAAGACAACCAAATAAAACATCAATCAATTAATAAAGTAACTCATTAATGGTTATGGCATATTGATGGTAATCTACAAGAAGGTTATTGTCTTATCCAATGTACCATCTGCTAGAAGGATTAGGCTAAGGGTAAACACTAAAATTAATGCAAGACATTTCACAGAATATGAAATACAGAATCACAAAATAGACTTCCTTGAGACTTCTGAAAACAAATCACAACATAACACAACAGTTACTCTAGCCTTGGATATCAGAAGTAAATATTTTATTCAACAAATTATATATAAGCAACGGGACTGAGTGCTTACATACCAATATTAACCCTAACCCTCCTGAATCCTTCACCTGCTGGAGGACTGAGGAGCGTTAGGGTTAATGATAAAGATGAACAAAGGAACTGACTGGCATTCCAGCGGCTCAAACCCCATTCAAGTCAAAGTCTTTGTTTGTCTTTCAGTTAATATTTACACATTGTAGTCGTGTGAAATTTTCATACAAATTAGAGATTAAACACTAAGGTGATTACATACATGTACATATATATATGTATATACAGATGTGAGAAAACAGAATTAGTTAAGGACGGGGGACTATGTCAGTCTCAACCTTATTTCAGTCAGCAAGACTTTTTTCACCCAGTTAAATGAACTGTGCACTAAATGGAACACCAATACTACACACTCGACCAGCCAACCGCTATGGGTCAAACTTACGCAGGTCATCAGGGGTTAAAGGTTATTGTTCAGCAACCTTGTACATGACCATCTCATCCCTGATTCGGTCTATGAACAGAAAGACTAAACCGATACCAAAAATCTGCCGTGGGATGAGAAGCAGAAAGACCATGGGGAGAAAAAAGGAAATTAGGTACAAATCGAAAAATAAAGTTGAGAGGATTTTTCGAGAAAAATACAGAAAGGTGCGAATGGTTGGGAAGAAAAAAATTAGCTGGAAAAGCGGGGAAAAAAAATAAGCAGAAAATGACTAGATGCTACTGTCTTGTACATTTTATTCTTCTGTAATCATATGCAGAGGCAAGATGCTACATATTGATACGCTGATTTAGCATCAAAGTTAGGGAATCAAAAGTTTTGCAGAAGAGCAAAAACCACTGCTCCATACAGTAATTCTGTCAGAAATAAACGTCACAAAAATGGATAGTGATGAGAGAATACAACGTATTGCCTTAAATAAACACAACGTTGAAGACGTGAACCACAGAATTACACTGTACGTATGACATGACCACCTTGATGATGGCAACGTAATTTTAGCGCAAAAGACACATGCCTTGACAACTCACCTGCGTAACAGCGAAGGCCAAAGCGACCCCGCCCATCAGACCCAAGTTATCCTCAGCCCACGTCAGGACAGCATCCGTGCAGCCAGTGACATAGATGGTGTCTGCTATTTCATAGGGGTGTTGAATACCCTTCCGAACGCCATTACCACACTGAGTGTTGATCACAACATCCGTCTAACAAGCAACCACAAAAAAAAAAAAAATCAGTCTTGTACACATTCAGGGGAAAACGAAGAACGCCCCGTATTTATTGCCTCAAACAATCAGAAAACTCAAACCACTTTGATCTGTCACTATTAACATCAATGACAATCAAACCAAAGAATGTGCATGTACTCCCAGAACAAGGACAAAAATCAAACTTCAGTCGTGAGAGGAATCACTGGGCAAAAGGAGTATCCGCCCCGAGCTAAGTGTACCATCAATCGGCAAAAGAAAGACAGGTGGTTACAAGCGGGTTCTTGCACGCGGTCTACGTGTAAGCAAAGACCATACATGCCGGGGTAAACTAGTTACGCAAACTCAGCATGCTCCGCGTCAAACGCGCTATACCTGCGCGTCCCATGGGGTGCCCCTGCGGTGAGTACCAATAAACCACGCCTTCTTTTGTTCCGCTCGGAGCAGATTGTTTGGTGAATGGATGTGAACCACTTTTTACAATACAAAGAAAGGTCTCTCAGTGATGGGGGAGATACGTGTATAAGAAGTTTGGCTCAAGATACTAGATGGATGTGTGACCGTCATCCCCTATCATCTTTCCTTTTATTTCCCTATTTTTGGTTGATCAATAGGCCGACTTTAACTCCCTAGTCAATTCTCCCAAAGAGCTGCCAGTGCAATGAAATACTCTTCAAACACACTACATGTGGATCGTTAGTTTTACTGCCATGGTATGTGCATGCAGCTACATCCGGATTACTTGACAATGGCTAACAAAAACACATGTCCTTATGGAAGCTGCAGGCTGACAGCTTCATCCATTTTCCCCACAGGCTCGCGCCCTATTTCCTCCTACCCCCCCCCCCCCCCCGAGTCAGTGTAAGTCCTAGCAATACTCATGCTGGGGCACTTCTGATTACCTTGGCAGATTTGCAGCACGAGAAGGGAACTCCGCACGCCGTCACGCCGGGGCTGTCGCAGCTGAAGTAGATGTTGTTCTCCCAGTCTTGGAAATCAAAACCTCCGCAGCAATCGAACTGTCAAGGAAGTGAAAAGTTCACTCATCTGATGGAAGTTTCAATTGACTTACTGCACAGACCGTCACTGCACTGACGTATATTTAGAACTGGCATAAAATTCCAGACAAAAACACCCATGGTATTCAACTTCAAAAGTAAAACTAGCTTGACAAGTGCACTACTTTTATGAATGGTATTTCATTCATTTACCCTACCCATGCCAGGCACAGCATAGTGCAACATGCGAAAAAATCTGGTGCACTTTGTAACACCGGCCAAGCAACAGCAGCAGAATAAACTGGCCATGTTGAGACAATGGGATCTTGTCTGTTGGATCTTGTGACGACTGGCAACCACAGACTCCCAGGCTGTTAGGCCTTGGGGAAAGTTGACCTGTTGGATCTTGTCACACTGGCAGGCAAGCCACTTTGACAAATGATGCAAACTGATGTGTCTGGCAGGGTTTCCAGCCAAAGTACCCTGAGGGGTTAGGGTTGATATCTGAGGGAATGGTGGGTAGTTAGCAGCTAATAGGCTACAGCAAAGCTACAATGCGGATACAACAGGTGGATTCATAAGCTCACATTCTGCTGGATAGAGTCTATGGTGAACTGGATGTCAGGATCATTGTAGTAGTCCTCAATGGTATTCCGGAAGGTTTTGCTCACAAAACTCTTCGCCTGAAAAAACAAGTTGAAAGAAACTTACACAAAGTCCCAAAGTGACAAATTTCAAAACACGCAAACCCGTTTCTTATCTTTTCCTTTTAACCCCCCCCCCGGTATACAGGCAGGTTTGATATGCATGTAGAGGATATCAAAATATCAACTAAAGAATGTTCTACGACAGAGCCAAAGTTCAGTACCTGACCCCTGAAGATTAGAGCAGTGATCCCACAGATGAGCAGCAACAGGAAGATGATGGTGTGGGTCCATCCAAACTGGGAGAAAGATTTGGAAATCAGACAAATGACGAGTTAATCACAGAACTGAAATACTGGCCGGATGTCCTCAGCTGGCTAATATCACTGGTGACTTGTCAATCGTTGCTCTCAAAGCCCTGGGAACAACTCAACGGCTCTCTTGGCAAGAGCCACAGAATTCTGATATAAATATTGTGCTAAAACATTTACATGAGAGCTTTAATGGTGATCTCTTTTACCCACAGCTCTATTTATAGAATCCAAGCTGGCCTTGCCTATGGTTGGATCATGGTATATCATGTACAAGTTCAACAACACTTGAGGTTATTGCATATATGACTGCTGAATATTCATATCATGACTAGCAAAGGCTTTGATACCATATGTCTCTCTCCGAATCTGGTATGGGTACAGATATTCAATTTTTAGGCTGTTTTAAATACATGTACTCTGGCAGCTATTAGACCACTAGAGCTAATCAAGTCGCGACTTACACAGACCTGCCAACCTTGCCGCACTCCTTCCTGAGGTCAGGTCAGGCATTACCCCACAATAGATTAAAAGGTATTTAAATCAGCCTTCGGTTCATTTACAATTTTAATCTATTGTGGGGTAATGCCTGACCTCAGGAAGGAGTACGGCAAGGTTAGCAGGTCTGCTTACAATCTTGAGCAGTATGATGTTCTCTCGGAGGGCCCCGATGCAGCCCACAGAGCCCAAGATAAACATGAAGACGCCCACCACCACCATGATGCTGGAGGGAGTGACAAAAACGTCCACCATGGACTGGTAGTTCCATTTCGCAATCTCTGCGTAGATGCCGATGCTAAGAATGATAACTCCAATCAGCTGGAGGAGAAAAGGAAGGAGAAAATTCAGAGCTGATGTCAGAGGGTTTTTTTTATTTTTTTTTTTAAATTGAAAACAGCATTGCCTTTTTCTGTAATCAGTAAAATTTTTTAGAAAACAAAATGAGGAACTTTACATTTGAAGCTACATGTATTGTGAGTATAAAAGCTGACGTCCCAGTACCTTACCAGTTAACTCGGCTTCATTTGTGCAGCCAACCTCAGTTGCATAAATGTAAATAACTGTACTGTCTATGAACCCTTTAAGATCGTTTATAATCCAACTGCAAGATGTTGCAGGATTTTAAATGCCCAAAAAGTATGTACTCAAAAGATGTAGCATATAACTCTTTGCACAATGCAACCTTCAAACATGTACAGGTATTTGACATCTTCATGTTCACATACATGCACATGTACACAGTTACATGTATCTCTAATCTAACAGTCAATCTCATCATCTGTACAATGTGTGAAGGGAGGACTTTAATGCAGAAAAGCCTGCATGTACATGTATGTACTTGTATTGATGAGATTGGTGAGTTATGTAACAGCAATTGCCACATTAACAATAAAGCTTAGCAAATTCCTTCTGTAATCTTATTATACATGTGTAATAAGATTGAATGTATTTTGATGTACCACTTTGCTATTCAACCTTAGGGTTACAAGTATGTGGCAATAAACCAGTACTAATAACAATAATGTACATGCATTTTCCATTACTCACTATCGCAAAACATGGATTACCCAAAACACTGCACCGAATACATGTTGTGACCTCATACCAAAACCACGATCCATGCAAGATGTTGCTAACAGTGTATGCACCTTCACCTGTGAATGCATACATAAATCAATACACCTGCACACATCTCCATTTATTTGATTGGATCAATGGGCACATCATGGCGCCAAGCCCTAGAGGTCATCAGCAGTTAGCTAGAATGAAATCACGCTGTGCAGGGCGCAGCATAGTTGCAGTAATCAATTGACATTGGAGCAACCACACTCCAGCAGTGCATTCAATCTAGAAATATACAACAAACCGGTACTAAGTACATGTACCTCTTTGCTCTATGAACATGTAACGGATGTCATCAATGTTATGATAATAAACATACTACTGTAAATGTACACTGTATGTACATGTACACGCAGACCTATACACTTGAACATGTATTCAGTCATCCATGTGAGTTTTCTGTCATGCTCAATCCCTGACCTTCCCCAACCACACAGAATTAAACAGTAGTTACATGTAAGTGTATAATTCTGTGGGGATAGATTTGGTAGGCCCAGATAGCTGGCTTTTTTGCATTGGGTTTGGCATACCTCAGAAAAACAGCCTCTGTGCACCAAGTCCCATATGAGTGTTTAACTTTGTGTGAATGGAGAAGGTTAGGGCCAGCAACCCTTGGGGGGTTTGGGCTATTGTCATTATTTACATGTAAGTTGTCAAATTTTTTGTCAAGTGTACATGTACATAGTCGTGTATTGGGTGTACCACTTCGCTAACTAAAAAAACATGCATGTTGGAAAGACATTTCTTTCAAGGTAAACATACAATTTTGTACTATATTTTTCTTTAAAGGTGAACATACACAGTCCACTCATGAATTTAGCACTAAAAATGCCCAAATTTGCAAGATTACGACAATTCGTAAAAGTTCTTGCACTAATTCAAATTCCCTACAATGTACCAACAAGTTACCATCAAATTTCTTGAGGGGAAGTATGTTCAACCTGTCAGGGCCTCATAGGATATGACTCAGTGTTGTGGCGTGCCTTCCAGACACAACTATACACATACCCCATGTACACAGTTACACCGCATCCAGTGGATTACGAGTACTTTTTTTTCAACCGGAAAGTTTAGTTACAATTCGACTGGATTCCATTTTTATCTTCACAGTCATACCAGTGTTTTTCATATCTTCAACAATCGATTTACCTGAATATATCTACCATATGAATCATTGTAATGTATACCCACAATACAAAGTTATTACATTTTATAATGCTACTTGTAAACCTGTTTCATAGATTAGAGGCGTCCAACCTAAGTTTTGGGTAATAGGCTTCCTGGCCTTTTTATAACATAAAACACTGTACACTAATTACTTTAAATATCGACCTAAGGTGCAAAGGCACATGTGCATGTACGTTGTGCAACATTTAGACACAATATGCAGACACATCCGCTTGAAATGTAGTGCCTTAATTTTAGGTGAAAATTCTACTTGTAGTGCTACATGTACATATATAGTCTAACGGCAGATGCACTCTAATATAATGTCAACAATGGGTACACTTGCCAGCACAATGCTTTGAGTAAATAGTTTTTATAACCTAATGTACATCCAATAACACAGGAACCTTTCAATGAGTTCAGTTTTGTTTATCTATCAAACAATGCCTGTCTAGTTGTCTGTATGGGTAGGATGGAAGGAATTGCATGGAACAAGGGGGTTGGTGTTCTGTTCTAAACTTCAGGTACTTGTACTGGTAACTGTGCGTTGGGGACTTGAGAGGGGTGTGTCTTTACTGTACAGGGAGGAAGGAAAAG